TTTCTCCCCCCCCCCCCCCCTGTCACACTTTCTTACCCCCCCCCCCCCGGGAGCGTGACGTACTTTAGGGACGGCCCCTGTAGGAAGAGGGTGTCTAAACTCAGCTTTTTCCCCGGGGGTAGGTGTGGATTTGGCTTGCCACCCTCGAACCCACATTTTAAAAATCCTGACTCTCCTGCCCCTGGAACCATAAAGATATCTACCGTATAACGGTCAGTGAGACTAGGTTTGCTTGTTAATGAAGGTCGATTAAACACAAGAAAACTAAACAATGGATCACAACCAAATTTGACAGGGTTATCCCTCCTGACCGACAGATGGTTCCTGGAAAGTTTGGTCATAAACCCTTTTATCCCAAAAGCTGTAATAAAAACATCGTAAAGATGTAGAGGGTAAATAAAACAACTTTCAAATGGCTTCGTCTGAATGATGAAATATTTATTTGCCCAGGTGACTTTAATTATTTCTTCCCTCTATCTTTCTGGTTCCACACTGGCCTGGTAGCACTGGTGAACTTTTAAAATTTAAAAGAAATATTTTTTGGTTAAAACGTTTTCGGCCTATTTTTTAATACACTGGACTAATCATATCTAAGTTTTAACAGCCGTGTGAACATGACATGAGTAAATGTCACCATATCGCCTATCACCTTTAAAAATGGGGCCACGTTTCATCATGACGTTCAGTAATCCTGAGCCACGTGATGGGCTAAAACCTAAAAATAGCTTCCGGCATAGTTCTTAATGCATTGAAGTTAAAGGTGGTGGTGGTGTCGAATGTACCGGTACGGAAGTTGTGGTATACATGATACAAAGACTAACCCGCTTGAGCTATAGAGATTTTGGCTTAGGTCTTCTTATCGGGACCAGGGCTGATCACCACCCCACCCCTTTTCCTCCTGGACTTCGGTTAGTGTTAAAGATAAGGGGGGGGGGGGGTCGTTTGTGACGTCAAAGCAAGTTCAATAATAAAGACTAACCCGCTTGAGCTATAGAGATTTTGGTTTAGGTCTTCTTATCGGGGCCAGGGCTGATCACCACCCCCCCCCTTTTCCTCCTGGACTTCGGTTAGTGTTAAAGATAAGGGGGGGGGGGGGGTCGTTTGTGACGTCAAAGCAAGTTCAATAATGAATGGTCGTCAATGACAAATGATCAACATTATGTTATTTCTATTGAGATTTTTTAGACAACTGATTTGAATATTGGACACATCGATAATTCCGTTCAACTTATTTCAATTGAAGGATTCAAATCCTGGCTGTGTTTTAAATGACATTTGTTACGGTTGATTGAAGTAGGCCTTAGTACACGCAGCATCATTGAAATAAGCTCAAGTCAAGTAGCTGTGTATATTGCAGAGTACGATACCCAGTAGCGTTCAATACCCAGTATCGGTAATTAAAGTTGAATATTTTTTACAAAAATCAGCTCTGTGAAATAACTGCATGATTGATAAACTGTCTAACCCATAACCATGTGACATCATAAATCGAAGGAAGTTGGAGAAAATTGTCTACTTAATATTGAGACAACCCTTTCCCCTATTCAACCAGAAACTGAATCTTACTCTGATCTGACGAGAAAGCATTCTTTCACTTTCACATGCCAAAATCGTTAAGTCAACCAAAAAACTACCAGACTTGCGAAGGAGTGGACATTAGCCCCACCTATTGCTGGAATTGGGATTAGTCAGTTCACTACAGACAAATTCTAAAGAGACAATACTACACAATTATTACACAATACGTATACACAAGGGTGTGCCTTGAGAACCCATGAACAAGATAACAAGTGCCTGTTGTAAAACAAAGCCATCATTTAAAACTGACAACACAACAGGAACTAAATTCACAGGAAGTAGGTTTTTGTTTTGTTGACATAATTTAATAGTCAAGTAAGGTATTGGTTTGGTTGCAAAGCACAATGCAAGTAGTAAGACAGTAATATCATTTCATTCAAAGATAAGAAAAATAAATTCATTAAATTCATGCTAGTCTTGTGACTAAATATTTCTGAATCTTTCACCTGACTTACAATTCGGTCTCACCGTAACATCTTCAATTCTCTTGCACATCAATCTATATTATAAATAGACTTACGTCATTTCATTTGAGAAAAGAATACTTGATTAAAAATTGAACATAGCAAAAGCATTTTCGTCATTTGTCTTATGAACATTCCTCTTCAAACATCCTATCACTTTCAGATCTTTTTTAAAGACCATTCCTCTTCACACTATAACTATCAGACTTTTTAAAGTGCATTCCTTACACTCATCCTAGACCTTTTTTTTTAAAGCATACCTCTACACACATCCTATAACTATCCGACCATTATTTAAGAGCATTCCTCTACACACATCCTATAAGACTTTTTTTTTTGAATGTCAAATATTTAATTAACCAAAACATAAAGAAAGTGATGTTAACTGGACGAGACTGTGACATCTCAAGAACTTGAGTATTGACATCAAGAACTATAGTGGCGTCCCAAGAGCTGATGTTGCGACACATAGTTTAATGCTCTCTTGACTGTTACAACGCAAGTTGTACAAATATCTGCCATATTTCTAAATACAATCAGAAGATTAAAAATAAATGAGGCCCTGAGCTTGATTTACTTTTAAACATAATTAGGTCAAAGTTTAAATAGATAAAAAAAAATCTCATGATCAGCCATCATCAGGAGATGACCCAGAGGTCACTGCCTGATGATAACTGGTATTGTCATGATAGATTGTCTTTGTAAAGCTGGGAATAGAATCAAATTCTAAGAGTCATAGTTACATGTGTTCAAATAAAAAACATGCAGATATTTCCACTACAATTTGAAGATTTGCAATACATTCCATTGATTCATGAAACAAAAAACAAACAAAAAAACTAGCAAAATATTTATTTTTAAAAAAAAAAAAGCCACATAGCTTTTTAACATAGCTGAAGGACAACAAAGATTTTTAACATGATCATTCATTTCAATATTATTTAAAGTTCCAAAACTCTTTGGGACAATAAAAATTCCCCAACTATACATCAAGGGAGCACTCACTGGCGCCGTTTGATTAGAAAACAAAGAAAATATAATTAATATTTTCAGTTGAGTTAATTATAGAGGATCTCAAAAGCAGTTTGAAATACTCCAGTCGAATGAGGTACGGTACCTAAACCACACTTTTAATCAAGAAACTTTTACTATTTTATTTAAAATGTTAAAAAGTTCCTTTACTAAAAATTCCTATACTATTCCACAAGTTGTTTTTTATATAATTATTAAATGGTTAATTTATTAATGACAAGAATGTTACATTTTGGCTGAATCTGTACCGAAAATGTATCGCAGGTAACTCAAGTATTTGCCAGTGAAGTCAATCACATTAGCAAGTGCTCTGTTAAAACTCAGCCGCATAAACCCAGTCTTATGCATTATTTTTTCAATACAAATTACAAATCAAGCACAAAAATACTCAGACTATTCTTCCTAAAACATTTTGAGAATTATATTATAGGTCAGGACAGTCAGTAAGATTGGGCAAAAATAAAAAATGTAACTATTATACTATACTATACATGAAGCGTTTTTTTTTAAAACTCATTTTGCGACCAAATCTATTAACCAACAGCACTTGTAAGATGTCTAAATATTTTCTTGTGCCCATTCTATAGGACTTTAAAAAAAATAATTCCTTTTTTATTTTTTTTAATACTTGTTAAATCTATCAAATTTTGAACAGCACATCTGGTCTGTTTTGTTGAGAAAACCTGCATACCCATCTAATGCACTCAAGGGAATCTCAAGCCTGGCCTACGTTTCTTACATGCACACCCACAGCTGATCACACAACCTGACCTTAACTTAACAGAATCAACTCCTCTGCTTAACATAGACCAGGTACAATCATTGTGTACACAATACAGTCACATAATTCAAAATTATTTCAAAATGCTTAACTCCCTGTTCTTTGTCATTAGTATTTTTTCAACTGCTGCATGCTGCTCATTACAATATAATCTTCTCTATACAAATCTAACAGGAATGAGATTTTCAATCCCACTATTACAACTGGACACATTCAGGATATTTTAATAGAACAAAAATAATTTATAAACTCTTTAATATTAAAAAAATATATATATAAACAAAAGATACTGTTTGCTATACAATTCATATCATAACATGTCACTGAAAAACTTTGTAATAAATAAATGTGAGAGAATATCAACAAGTCACCAATGTTTCTCAAAAGCGGTAGATTTTAACTAACACCTCTGGCAGTTAGTGAAGTGGGAATCTAAACCAAAAGATCAACTCAATGATATAAGAGTGAACTTACTCCATATAAATCTGTGAACAGTGAAAAGTATTGCCAAGAGTGCCTAGAACATTGTGCAAGTACAATGAATACACTATGATCAGACAACTGATATAACGGTACTGTTAACGTAAGTAATTAGCATATGCTGTAATTACCTGTAAGAAACATCTTAAGAATGATAACTGAAACTTTAATGACATTTACACCAATTTACATATGTTATAGTCTATAGTGATCTTGCTTAACCCTGTATTTTGATTAATGTTAACAGATGAAATTTCAAGTTACAAAAGCAAGATATCATCATGGAAATAAAATTTATTTTAAATTATCTGGCAATTATTTTCTATTTTTGCTTAGTGCACTTAGTCTAATTAATTTTATTTAATATCCTTAAATTAATATAGACACTGAAAAAAAAAAAAAAAGAAACTTGTAGCTCAGCAGTACATACTCTGTTCCAAAAAAAAAGAGTCTTTTAATTTTAACAAACAAGGGTTGTAAATACAATTAATAACATTCAAACTAATTTTAACATTATTAGAAAGTTGTTTTTTAAAATAAAATAATACATTTTTTCCCTTTAACTTTAAATAAGATACATAAATGAAGTTTTATTTCATATTGTGAAATAGAAAAATGTTTTGTTCTTTAAAATAATTTAAATATTTTTTTAAAACAATGTTTCATTTCTAAAATTTATTGACAGTTATTAAGCCTAAATGGCCAAATGGGAAATGCAGCAGTTTAAGTTTAACATGTGACCATCATTAATTTGTATAGCATAGACTTAGATTGTGTCAGTTATGATGAGAAACATGTATATTTGAAATTAATCTATGTTCATATATGAAATAATACAATAACTAATGTAAAGCTAGGCTACCTGACTAATTAGGGGCATAAATATACACACTAACAGTTTTAGTGGTCTAGTTCCAGGAAGATAGTAACCATGCATTTATTGATTGCCTTCTGTCTCCTAAAAATATTGAATTTAATGCTTTTAATTATGTAACAAAAAACATGGGTACTTCAATTTTAACTCACCGCAAAAAATTATCATTTTATGTCTATGCAGTTTTATCCGGTTGAATAAATACAACTGCTTCTGTAGACACCATGAATTCTTTGACAATTTCTGCATTAGTTCACAAAGAAGTCAGTTATATCTTGTTTCTACAACAACATGGTACTATACGTGCTGTCAGATGATGTGATAACAACCATAAAGTTAACGGAATGCCAATAATCAACCCATCGAACATACGTGGAAATAGTCAAAAGAGAGAAAGAATGGCACACACAGACATATGCTCAATTCTTAAATGTGTGGGTTCATTTTGCGTCGACGTGTTAAAGCAAATGGTTTGAATTTCAAACTGAATGTATTCAACACTATTCTAGATGATATTGTTTAAATTTGGCCACCACAGTAGCGGAGAGACTTTAAAAGATGTAAATATGTTTTAATGCAAAAGAACATTTGTTTTATTGGAAGTGTGAAGTGTTTTAATGGAAATGTGAAATAATGTAGGTATAATGTACAATAATTTTTGCGTTGAATTAAAAGTTTTTAATCAAAAGAACATTTGTTTTATTGTTAGTGTGAATAATAATAATAATTATTGCGGTGAATTAAAATTGAAGTACCAAAAAATGTCAAAACTCTCCATATTAAATAGTTGGAACTCCATCACAAGACATTAAGTTGATTAAGAGCTGAATTACTTGAATTTTCAGCCACAATCAAAAACATTTCCTAATTATTATGTAATAATTCTCAAGATGACTTATGAAAAATCAAAGATTTAATTTTAAAAATGGTTACAGGAGAACTTTAAAAGTTTTGTCATCATTTGTATAGCATTAAAATTTATGTTGAAACAGTTAAATTATACTAATTTATTAATATTATTATGAATAACAAAGAAATAACAGCAATATTCACATAATTAATATTGTTTAATTAAACTAGCTAGTGGAGAAAATATTCAACCAAAAATAATATTTTATAATTTGAAGCATTCTACAACAATCAACTTCAATTATACACTACATTATGATACAACAGTTTGTATTGCACTTAAAAGTTCAATGCAAATGATATTGATGAAGCTGAGTGAATTCATTCTGTCTTCACAAATACAGATCTTGTAACTATGAAAATATTTAATGAAAATAAATGCTCAGCCTTACATTGTTTGAGCAACTGTCTGTTATATTATTTGTCAACAACAGCCACATAAACTCAGCACAACAATCAACCTTGGTACCAGTCAAAAGTAGTTCCAGTTTCATTCATGGTCATCACACTAACAAATTCCAGTCTCAGATGATTGATAATGAAATGCTTAAGTATTTAGAAATGGTCAGTAAGTTCAGTGAGGGCTTTTCTCACAGCCCTTCCTAGTTTGTCTTCATGGTTATAAAGTCCTAAATTGTAAATAATGAATTGAAACACAAGTAACACACAACAATGTTTTTTGAATAGTTGAAGCCAATGGGGGACGATGTGTGACGACACTCTTCATTTAAGTCACTTTCGTCGTCGCTTGAATGCGTTGAAGAAAAATAGTAAATGTCACAATGGTTTATGAAAGACGAAATTAAGATCTATGGTAGAAATCACATATTAAAGGAAGAAACTGAAGAAATTCCATTCTGCGTTGATGTAACTTCCCTCTCATATCTGCTACTCAAAAACTTTGCTGTTTCTGTCATCTGGTGCAATAGTCCAAACAATCCTCTGAGATGATATCTAAAAGCTGCTGCAGTTTTCCTAGCATTTTCACCAATAGGGTCGTCTCCGTCTACTGAATCGTCAGTGTTGTCATTTTGCTCTTCATCATTCAAATTAGGTAGAGGGCCAGCTGTTATTTCTGAACGGATGGCGTGGAGCATGGCATAAAAATGATAGAGATCACCACTCACCGGTATCGCTGGAATCACAGCTTTGTTATTGTTTTCTTCTTCGATACAAGGAACGGGAATAGATTCAACTGGAATGTCTCGAAGGCGGCAAGGAATCATGACCGTGTCGTCCATTAGGTCGACCGCTTGGACGAACCGATTAATGGCAGTCAAAAGAGACTGCTGTCCATCAATGGATGGATTTGTGCGTCTTCTACCGTTGTTTCCCATACCTGACATTTTCACAACTGAATCTTGATGTAGTTTAAAATATCCAGAAAATAATGTGCACAGCGCTAACAGACGGGAAGATGATTTCAACAAATCAATAATCGACTGTTCACACACGTTGCCGCCGGCTTCGTCAATCACATATGAAATTAGGACTTCGGTATTTCTCCTAGTAGGTGATGGTCTAATTTCAATCGACTAAAAGGATGTTATTAATATAAAACACTTATTCTGTCTATTACTTTGCACCTCATATGTGTACTTGCCGTTGTTGAAAAAAGGCTTTTATACCGGCTCGATGAGATAACAAGAAATGAACGACACAAGCTCAACAAGCCAGCTCCCCTACTGAAAAAATAAGCTTGACGATACCAAAACATACGAGTTAAGGTGGGGGTCACTGAACCTCAATCTGATTGGCTGGAAAAAATCAGCAGGGAAGGGAGTGACTACCAAGGACGCTAAGTGTGTAGCCATGGCGGCGAGATATGAAGGGAAAAAACGGGGAAGGGGTGGAGCACTGGCTGATCCGGGCCAAATGAATCACGTTCTTCCTTGTTTTAAAAAAAGAGAACCGGTATGTAATTCGCTGCCGCGTATTCACGGTGACGCAATAGAAATACCTCGTTGATAGTGGGAAGGAATAATGACAATCAAAGCTTTTCATTGAAACATTTTTAATGTTGCAATGCATGTTTTATTGGGTAGATTAATTAAAAATGTTACAATTGAACTGATTAACAATTTTTCTCTTTTTTTAAAATAAATTATGGATTAAATTAAGTTATTTAAATCCAGAAATGAAATATCATGCGAGTGGTTGATATACCGTGATCATTAATAATAATAATACTAATAAATTAATAGTTAATAGTATTATATCGTTCTTACAGTGATGGTAGGATTTGGAAATTGCCCCGGCATAAAAATTTATACTTATGGCGGCACAAAATTGATTTCTAAAATTCTCTCTTGTCATTTTAAAAGTGAACCTCATTACTTTACATTGTTTCATTAAATCGTAGACAAATGTAAATTAAATACCTCCAATCATGTTAGGCATATTAGTTTCATCATTATAATTATTGTCATGACAGAGGCGTAACTTTAAAGAAGGGCAGTTGTCCTCGGGCCCAGATTAGGTCTTTGAGGATATTTCATTTATGAAAGTACGGGTCTTCAGTACGGATCTTGTCCCCGGGCGTCTAACACCCCACCCCAACTACGCCTCCGTGTCATGATCCTAAGGATACCGTACTTCCACGAGGATGGTTGCCCCCTGCGACTGAAGTTCTTACCGGGCAAGCCATTGGATTCTGATGATGATCTCCATATCAAGCTTTGGGGCATTTTAATACGTATGTTTATCTGGGGACGTTGGGTGGGTATTACTACTATAACTACAACCAGGTCAACCAAGTGTTTTCTTTGGGTCGTATGGAGTAAAGCTAGTATGATTTAAACATTATTTCAACACTATCATATGTTTCTTCTAATCTAAAAAAAAAAAAAATCTTATAAAAATCATCGAAAGCTTCTTGTGATAATCTGGGAGCCGGCTCGACAACTACCCGGCACAACAGCTACCTGGCTTGATAGCTACCAGGGATATCCTGTTGGAATACCAGTTTCTCCAGTCCGTTGATTTTAACCCCGCCACGCTCTGATTATCTGACGTGCAGACGACTGTAACATCCCTGACCTTGCAACGGGTCATAGCTTATGACGTCTAGAAACAAATCCTGTCAAAAAAAGAGTTCCAACGCATAAATGTGACCACGTGACATGGAAATGGTAAAAATGATAAACTGGACGATGCAGTGCAGCAGTTCACAACTTAAGGTGCGTGGCATATGCATGATGTAAATTGACAGAATAATTCAAATTTGTTAAGTGCGCGCGCATCCAGAGGGCGGGTTGAAGTTGAAGTATCGTGGATCTGGGGCCTAGGCTGTATCCAGGTTCGAGCATCATGTAGTAGCTACTAGCGAAACTGTATCCTAAGGCAGTAATCCTTTCATTATGTTTGGTGTGACGTGATCATGACGTATGACACAGTACACTCACGATATGCCCTACTTATACATGACACACAATCAACACATTGTTTGAAAATGTGAGGGGGGGGGGGGGAGAAGGATAAAAACAAAAATTCAAATATATTTTTAAAAAAGGGGAAAAAAAAATAAAAAAAAGGGGGGGGGGGATGGGGGGGGGGGGGTTAGACCTACCTGATAAAAAATAAATGTCTAAAATTCATTTTATCCCACAGAATATTGTGACGTTCATTGTGTGACAACTACCTACCGGAAATCGAGATTATCGTCAGCTATTATGGCGCAGTTGAACTTTTTTTTTGATTTACATTAAAAAAAACAAAGTTTGGAACTTGTATGATGTCCTAGTGTATGATGTCCTAGTGTATGATGTCCTAGTGTATGATGTCCTAGTGTATGATGTCCTAGTGTATGATGTCCTTGTGTATGATTTCCTACTGTATGATGTCCTAGTGTATGATGTCCTAGTGTATGATGTCCTAGTGTGTGATGTCCTAGTGTATGATGTCCTAGTGTATGAAGTCCTAGTGTATGATGTCCTAGTGTATGATGTCCTAGTGTATGATGTATGAGCCCAATGCGAGGACGGGCTGAGAACAAAACCAAACGCCATTCATCTTCATTTAAGCTGAAAAATAAGTTTCAGTCTTTTAAAAAGACTCTTCATCACCACCACTGACATCATAGCTCTTCATCACCACTTCTGACACCGTAGCTGTAAAGATTCTTCTGTGGCTGGTAGAGAGCAAACCTTCCAAGTTTTCAACACCGCCCAAGCACCCAAGGGTTGCTAAGTTCCGCTTTCCTGCTCTTCACCGACCTTGGCCTCAGATGTGAACACACATGAGAATGTGCAAGCCTCCCTCTAACTGATGAGGATGGGATAACGTTGAGTGTAAGAGCTTGAAACCACAGAATCGCTCAAGGTCAAGGCTCTCGGTTTTTTGCCTTTTTGCCTTTTTGCCTTTTTTTTTTAACGCGTGCACTTACGTTATGTTATCGTAACACATACAGCGGAACCTCTCATAACGAGCACCTCTCATAACGAGCACCTCTCATAACGAGCACCTCTCATAACGAGCACCTCTCATAACGAGCACCTCTCATAGCGAGCACCTCTCATAACGAGCACCTCTCATAACGAGCACCTCTCATAACGAGCACCTCTCATAACGAGTAATTCGCATAACGAGCAAAAAAATGAGAAGAAGTTGTGAAAGAGCACAGTCAAGAGTTGACCACCGAAGAAATTATGGATTTTCAGCCTTGTTCACAGCAAGAAATTATGAAGGAGAGCTCATTCATTGAGGAGGAAGTAGCAGAGCAACAATCTTCTAGCGCAATAAGAGAAATGCTGAAAGCATGGGAAACTTGTGCATCGTACATTGAGAAGCATCACCCAAATAAGGAGGTGGCTATTCGTGCTACAAATTTATTCAATGATAATGCTGTGACACATTTTCATCAAATTTTGAAGCTTTGGCAAAAACAAATATCTTTAGAGAGTTTTCTAGTTAAAAAGGATTAATTATTTGTCATAAATTCATATTTTTATTTACATTTTTTGGATCAAATCTAAATTGTATTCCAAGTTGTGACACTCCTTAACAATTCATACGTAATTGTATTTAAATAAATGTTAATAAAAAAAATTGAAAAATGAGTATTTTTTCAGCATGGAACGCAGTATCGTATTTTACATTGATTTGTATGGGAAAAATTGTTTCGTTTAACGAGTGTTTCGCTTAACGAGTAAGATTCTGGAACGAATTATGGTCGTTATGAGAGGTTCCACTGTAATTTAAATACTTTATCTTTGAGATGTGACAAAGGTTTTAAAGTCGGAGTATTAACTCGTGTTTCAACTTCAGATGTGGCCAGATTTATCAATGTGAGCTAGAAAATGCCAAAGACTTTTTTTTTTTAATCTTTGGGCCTCACAATCCGGAGGGGACATAATTATTTATTTATATATTTTAAAAAAATAAAAATAAATCAGAAACTGTATCCGTGCGCCTACAAGAACGCGTTGCAGTCAAACAATGAATTCTTTTGAAAATATATTGCAAGAAATCAAAGTTAATGCGCTTTGAAAATTTGTGGATAATGTATGATGCAATTTTTTTTTAAACAAGGCACTCAATATTACTTACAGCCTCACCAATTCAAAGCTGGAATCTAATCTTGATTACATCTAGAAATAGTTGTGTATAAGTATATGGGGGCTTTCGCCTACGCTGAGTAAGGGGGTGGGTGGTGGTGTCTGGAATATCGAAGCCCTACACAAGTCTGTCGTATCACTGAATGATAAAATATATAAAGGACGCCGTTCAAGGCGTGTGAAATGTGAAGACAATCAGTAGCGGAACAGGTTATGGTTAGGCTTGACCACAAAAGCCAGCGTAATTAAACCGACGTTTCAGCCAGAAGCGTGCTTCAGCAGACTCAGCCACGATACAAAAAACTAGAGACAACAGATACTTATAAACTAAAAATGGAAATAAAAACTATGTTTAAAAAGTTTTTCTTTCTATTATTGATTTAAAGTATCTGTTGCTTATTGTTTTGTTGAATGCGCTAGAACAGGCCTGCACAACTCAAAATGTAAGGTGGGCCGTAAGTATTTATGAAAAAATTGTGCGGACCGAAAGAAAATAGGACGGTGGGGGGGGGTGGGAGCTATTAAGAAATAATAAGAATAATAAAGACTATTTCGTTACTTCGCGGGCCGCAATGTGGGTGCTGGCGGACCGCAAAGTGGGTGCTGGCGGGCCACAAAGTGGGTGCTGGCGGGCCATATCGTATGTTGCGCAGGCCTGCACTAGAACATAGAAAAGGCAAAAGGTTGGAAACCGTGGACGAGGAATATATACATGACTAGGGCTTAACCGGGTGCAGTTTTATTTACACCGGGAACAGTTTTTTACACCGGGTACAGTTGTTTTTTTTACACCGGTACAATTATTTGACACCAGATACAGAAATTTTGAGGAAAAAAAAATAACTGGGTCCAAGTGTTAGAGAATAAAAGTTAACTTATCATTTTCTATAAATAATACCGGCATTTCTACATGAGGCCTACAGACGCAGTCCTACACCCTACCTACCATTCTTTAAGCAATGGGCCTTCAGATGCAGTCCTACACCCTACCTACCGCCCTTTAAGCAATGGGCCTTCAGATGCAGTCCTACACCCTACCTACCACCCTTTAAGCAATGGGCCTTCAGATGCAGTCCTACACCCTACCTACCGCCCTTTAAGCAATGGGCCTTCAGACAGTCCTACACCCTACCTACCGCCCTTTAAGCAATGGGCCTTCAGATGCAGTCCTAC